AAGTGCTATAACTTTCGATGCTCTTTCATGCTTTCCATTTGTTATGTCAGATGCTGAGACCAACGTTAACAGTGAGTCAACACCAACACAGGAAATTTCTGAATAAACAGACATAATGTCACATGGGCAGCAGGAAAATGTTCTTCAGAAACCCAGCTTCCTGGAAGCATGTGAACTGGTAAAGCACCAGAAAATGCCCACAGTGAAAACTATTACAAGAAAGGTTCCCAGAATCTCTTGTGATAGCAAGACGTTCCTGTGTGAAAAGTGTGGAAAATACTTCAACTACTTTTCTTACTATGTTAGACACCAGATAATTCACAAAGGGACAAGCCATTTGAGTGTCATGAGTATGGAAAAGCCTTCAATGGCAATTCCTCATTGCTGTGGCACCAGAGAATCCATACTGGGGAGAAGCCCTATCAGTGTGAAAGGTGCAGGAAAGCCTTTAATGATGATGCGAATCTGATCCGGCATCAGAGAATCCACAGACCCTATCTCTGCGAGGAGTGCGGAAATAGTTTCACCAGCAGTTCTGAGTTGGTGATACGTCAGAGAATCCACACTGGGGAGAAACCCTACGAGAGTCATGAGTGCGGAAAAGCTTTTGTTTGTAATTCACCGCTATTTCGACATCAGAAAATCCACACTGGAGAGAAACCCTATGAATATAATGAGTGTGGCAAAAGCTTTGGAAGGACATTGCATCTTAGTCAGTATATTCACACAGGGGAAAAGCCTTATTCTTGTAAAATATGTGGGCAAGACTTTAATTTTCATACAAAACTAACTCAAGGGCCTCCCCGGTGGTAAAGCGGGTTGAGTGCAGTGCTGTGGGGCTGTCCACAGCCTTTGCAGTGCAGGTTTGATCCCCGCCAGCCAGCAAGAATCCCACATGGCGCACCAGATCTCTACTGCCGCGCCCGCTGCTCCCCTCAGGTGTATTTTGGTCATCTGGCTGTTCTGCTCCCTGCTTTGTCTCTGGTGAATCCTCTCATCCTCCTGCACCTCTGGCCTGTACCCCAGCTCCTGTATAAAAATAAATAAATCTTTAAAAAACTAAACTAAACTAACTTGGCACCAGAGAGTCCACAGTGAAGAGAAACCCTTTGGTTGTCTAGATTGTGGAAAGGCCTTTAGTGCTCAAGAACAGTTACAAAGACACCTGAAAAGCCATAGTCAAGAGGCTTCCTGTGTATGTGATGATTGTGGGGAAGTCTTCACTAGCAAGAGAAATCTTCTTCATCAAAGAATCATGCTGGAAAGAAATCCTTTGAGTGTGTTAATTATGAAAACTCTTCTAGGACTTCTAGCCAGCTAGATTATGTCTACTCTGGAGAGAAGGCTGTGCTGGACTTTTGTCGTTTTGTCCTCTCAGAATTTTTTACCCAATTCTACTGGTAATAATGTACTAAATTTCCTTTTGGATTCTATCTCCCCTTCAGAAGTTGAATGTGTCACAGGCCTGACTTAGCTACAGGTTCCTTCCCCCAGGCCATAGCTACTGGTTCAGGTATCAGTAGGTGACCCATGATGGGCCAAGTAGAATCCCAGGTCTGGTAAAAATGAGCTGGGAGAAATACTCTTCTCTTCTCCTTGGTCTTAAAGTTGAGAGGAACTCCTAGGTACATGTGGAGGCTGAGAGAATGAGGGGAAACAGCAGAATACCACTCAAAGTTGGAGAGTAGTCAGCCTTGAAGATTATGTTTAAACAACTACATTAAAGTCTGTCTGAAGGTGGAAGTACCTCTGGGTTTTGGGGTTTGTTTGTTTGTTTTTGGCTCAAGCAAGTTTGAGTTAAGTTTTCTTTCCTTGAAACAAGAGTCTTGACTTAATACAAGCCATATCAGTGTAACGATTATTTTTTAAGTCTTCAGGAATAACAAACCCGATGAAGGAGAAAGGTATGTTTAGGGCATGATTGTGAAAAGTCTTTAGCTAAGACCTTGGCATTTTCCCTGATTGTAATAGTAATGGGGAAACTTATTGTGACAGTGGGGAACTCTGGTTGCCACTGTATAACACCAGTGAATAGGAATTCTAGCAACTTTCAGTGCTACTACAGCATTATGCCCGCATCAGTGAGCCCATTCTCAAAAGTAGTCTTGTTATAGGACAGGGAGAGGGGCACCCCAGAATCCCCAAACCTACACTGTGTCAGCCACAGCACTGCTGTCAGTAAGCCCTCTCCAACTGAGTAACTGTCCTTGAATCAGTTATGATTAATGTATTAGTCTCATCGCTCTGTAGCAAATTAATACTTACTTGGTGACTTAAAACAACAGGTCTAGTTTAATAGAGGAGCATTACCAGAGTGTTGAGACTTAGAACCTTGGAGAGTTCCATAAACAAGAGCGTGTCAGAACTAGCACCTTGGACAGCACCACCGCGTCCCTGTTTTCTGCCCTAATCTTGTCCGTGACCAGTGCCAAGAACACGTTGCTAATTTCCTGAAACTTTTGACTCCTGCGTGCCTGGTAACCATATTACCCTAAAGCCAGCATTCTTTTTTAGAAGCTTTTTTTTTTAAAGAGACATTATGCATACAAGAACTGGGGTTTAAACTAGAGGTGGGGGGGGGGCAGTGAGAGGACTTACCAGAGACATAGTGGGGAGCAGAACAGGCAGATCTACTGAAATACACTGTTGAGGGAAGCATTGGGTGGGACGGGAGAGGTCTGCTGCGTCATGTGGGTTAGCTCCCTGGCTGGGGATCGAACTCAGGCCGCAGTAGCTGGCGATAGCTTGGTAATGCTGACTTTAACCCCTGCACCATGAGGGAGGACCCTAGAAGGTTTTTTTTTTTTTTTTTTTTAATGACAGTATGGGAGTTGAGAGTCTTCTTTGCATAAAATATCAGCCTCAGAACTGTTCATTGGATTCCCTTGGGAGCCCTGTGGGTTTGAGACTTGGTACCACTGTATTTTTCTGTCAGGGGGAAATACCTGATACCTTATCCTGCTATACAGAGAATACTACTCAAGGTTCTTCCTAGGTATATACCAGAAGCAAGCTACTAGTCAAAAAGGTGTGAGAAAAAGGATATGTTGTATTTACCTGGAGATAGGCAACTGGATATATACCCTCTCCTAACTTGCTACCATTCCACTGTTAACCCTTTTTCAAAAATAATGGATTGGGTATGCTTTCACTGTGGCAAAACTTTAGCAAGTTTTGGTGAAGTCAGGCAAGCCAAACCGAAAGAGGCACTGCAGCCTCTTTCTCCTCCTAACAATGATGCCACAGTTACAAACTTATGCATTAAGTATCTATTCCTTTATGACAAATGGAAAAGGAGATTGGGCCCACAATTAAGGTGGAGGAGGAAAGATGTTAAAGTCAATTGGACAAGTAATGAATGCAGGTCCTATTGTATGTACTTTGAATAAAACTACATAATGGTATTTACAACAACTATATTATGCCATTTTTCAGATGAGTGTGGTTTCTGAAAAGCTAAGTGATTGCCAGTGTCTCACAAATAGTCAGTCGAGGAGCCAGAACCCCCCGATTTCATTCCCACTATCACACTGCTTCAGAAGTCAACTGGTAAGTGATTTTGGACTTACTGACTAGACAGCACTAAGTTTTTGTTCACTTTGGCCTCTGGGTATGCCTGGTTTAGCAGGGGTAGACCTGAATCGCTGAAGTCTTATGTGAGGGCCATGCTTTCCTGTGAGTCGAGTGTTTAAAATAATGCTGTAGATCATATCTTATCCTACATTTCTAGATACCACTTTATAGTGTTTCCTACATTGCCTGAAATGGAACCCTGCCCTAATATATTTTTTGTCTTAATGTAGTTGCTGTAAGCTATTACTATAGCTATGCCATTTTTCATTTCGCTTACTGCTCACCTGGCATCTCTTTTTTAACCCATTCTTTGACTTCCAAGCCTTTTGCCAAAAAAAAAAAAAAAAAAAAAAGAACTTTTCACAGATTTGTATTTTCATATATTAAAAATATATCTATTTTTAATTATTATTCCCCTTTAACCACTCCTTTATTACAGTTAAGATATAACATTATTTTTTAAATGTAGGTTATTTATGTTATGGTCTTCTAAGCCATTATCGATCAGCTTCATGATAGGAGAATGAAATGTCATTACGACATATTTGTAACCAAAAGGGGGCTTTGGGTCCGACAGCGTGTGAGCCACGGGTTCCGCCGGGAGACACCCAAATCCGGTTGCCCCTGCAGCTTAGCCAAGGCCCCGCCCCAGCCCACCGCGAGGGCGTCGGCTCTGGCGGGGGAGACGCCCCTGCGGCGCCCAGCTCCGGCCGCAGGGGGCGGGGCCAGAGTACCACCGAGGGAGCGCGACGCGGCTCCTAGAGCGGCCCGGCCGGGCCTGGTGACGCACTTCCGGCCGCGCCGCTGAACCGCCCCCGGCGGAGGTGAGTATCAGCCGGTGGCGGGCAGGCTGCGTCCCTGGCCTCGGAGCTCTTGGTGCCGTTGGGACGCGCCGCCGCCCGGGGTGGAGCTGGGCCGCCCGCGTCTGCGACCAGGGCCAGGCCGGCGGCCGCGGGCCCGCTTCCCCTTCTCGTGTCACGCTTTGACTTGGTGGCCGAATAGATTCCCTTCCCTGTCAGGACCGCGACCCCCGGAGCTTTTGGCGCTTGCCCTGTTCGGGAAGGAAGCTTCTGGGCTCTCGGGAAGATGCGTTGGAGCAGCCGGAGGTGGAATGTATCCAGGGATCGAGCAGCCTGAGGTGTAATTGTTAGGGGGAAAAGGATGTCCTAAAGCTAATCCCATATAGGCTTTGTGGACCCCACCCCCACCCCAGGCCAAAGCCAAAAGACACTGGGAACTCCAAATCCCATCACCACCCAAGGGAAGGTGGCTGGGACCTGAGGGTGGGGTGAAGCAGCCAGGTGGGTATAAAGCCAGACACGTGGGCTTGGAGGGGTCCCCCATTTTGACTCTCCGCCAGCTCGCAGTGTCCGGCCAGCTCTGAGAGTGCCTTTGGGTTTCCAGGTCGGCGGATCGGGTAGGACGCATTAAAGACTTTATTTCCCTATTTTCTCCTTGAGTTGTACATTTTCCTTCTTTCTTTTTCCCTTGTAAATAAGCCTTTTATTAACCTTTTGTGTATGCCTGTAGTGGAGTATTAATAAGTCCCTTTTAAGCGCGCGGGTGAGGACCCACAGCCAGGCACCCCGTTCAATATTGGGGCTGCCCTATAACATTATCACGAGTCTTTTGAGGTGATGAGATCGTGTAGGGGTGTTTAGGTAGTAAGGATGGTGCTCCCTGGCTGCCGGCGTGAGGGCGCGAGGCGGAGGCTCAGCCCCTCCCGGCGTCCCGGGACCAGAGGGAACCTGCGCGGGGTCAGTACTGAAAGGTGACAGCCAGGCTTCTTTCTGGCTGGGAGGACGGTGACCTGGGAATGCTTTCTGCGATTTAATTGCTGATTTGCTCAATCCTAGAATAAACATAGAATAATTCCAGAATTGCTAATTCGTATCTTCCTGAAATGAGAATTCACCAAGTAGAGGACAATATTTGGGTGGAGGTCTTTTCGACTTTAGTCAAAATACTGTTTTCTAAAATTACTATGTTCTTTTCCAATTCTTCAGTGTGGTTTTGTTCAGCAATTGTAGTATAGTTAGGCTCAGTTGCTGTTGTTTGTACTCCTTTTTGGGTTGTCAGCCCCACCCTCTCCCGCTTGGTTGATTTTCTGTGTGTGTGTATAGTATTTTAATGTGGATATGTGCAACTTTAGTATGGTTTGGCAAGTCAGAAGAAGGTGTTAATTCCTCTCATCCCTTCTACCTGTTTTCTTCCAACTTATTTCTTTTTCTGGGTTCCTTTCACCCTGTTTAAGGAGGCAACAATTCTCCTTAATTTTTGGTTTATCCTTTCTCTTTTTGCGCAAATGACCAGATATACATAAATTTTTGTAAACTCTCCCCTCTCCCCTTTTTTTAAACACCAAAGGTAGCATACTGCCTTTTGCACTTTGCTCTTTTCATTGGACAGTGTATTCTGGAAGCCACCCCATATCATACAGATAGGTATACATATTTAAATATCATTAATTATACAGAAACTGCATCTAGCATGTCATTTAAGAAGCTTAGTAGTGAAACAGCATCAGTGAACACACCACCCCATTAAGACGGGGAACATTGCCAGTACTGCTGCTGTGTACTCCCCAACCCAACTCCCAGCTTCCCACCCCAGAGGTAACAACTGCCTTGAATTTTTTGTTACAGCCTTAACATTTTTTTCAAAAATAATTTGATGTGTATATATGTTGTAAACAGTATGTTTAATTTTGCTTTTTTGTTTTATGGAAATCACATCATAGTGTCTGTTGTCATCTAAGACTTGCATAGTTGAATATTATCTATCCAGATTCATTCATGATGTGTGTGAGTTGTTCATTTTTGCTGGGTTATGTTCCTTTGTTTAAAAAAAGACTACATCAGCTTATTCTCAGTGGACGTTTGCTTGCAGTTTTTTGCTCTGAAAATATTGCTGATGTGGATAATTTTGTACATATCTCCTACATAAGAGAGTATTAAGAGTATTTAATACTTTAGAGTATTAAGTTTTAAAATTTGGGCATGAATGTTGAATTTTATCAAATGCCTTTGACAGCTGTTTAGGTGGAGATTATTTTTATCCTGTACATCAGGATACTAATGTATATCCTAATATTGAGTTTTACGTATATTCATTGAACGATCCTTTATAGTCATGGTATGTCTGTTTAATGAAGTACTGGAATCTATTCCTTACTATTTAGGATTTTTGCATGAATACTCATAAATGAGACTGGTCTGTGGCTTTTGTATCAATATTGCACTGCCGGCATAAAAAGGGTCAGAAAACTTGCTTTGCTATTCTTTGTTACAGTTTAATCATGCTAGAATTATTTCTTTATTAAAGATTTGAAAGGGTTTGCCCATGATCCATATGGGCTCAGTGTTTTGTGAGAGTTCATTCTTTCCTGGCTCTCAGATTTTAATTAGGTCAAAATAATCTAAGATTATGGAGTAAAATCCTGTATAATAAAATTGGTACAGTCGACTTACTAAATTAAAGTAGAATTATATATTCTTCTATCCTGAACTAAGTTTTCTTTTTAACCATCCATAAAATATATTTCAAATGGACACTGCCACCACACATACACACACACAGAAGTCCTAAAAAATTTGTAAGCAGAAGTAAATAGATGAGTTTAAATACCTGGCGGTAAAGCCAGAAATTATGAACAAAGAAATTAACAACATCAAATTGTCCTAAACACCCTTTTGTTCAGAGATAAAAGAGTTCCTGACTAGCAATAAGCTAGTAATTTAAAACATGAAATATAAATAACCTTATAATGTGGCTGAATTGAGTACTCAGAGGGAAATTTATGACCCTAAAGACTTTAGTTGCCAAATAGTAAATAATGATAAGTAAATAAATCACGCAACCTCAAGAAGGTAGAAGAAAAGCCTCCCCGGGATACAGAACATAAGACAGAAGTTGTGTTCAGGCCATTTATTTGGAATATAGTACAGGGCAGAGTGAAAGACATGAGTGAGGGGCCTCCCTGGTGGCGCAAGGAGTTAAGATGCAACCTATGAAGCTGTCCACAGCCTCTGCAGCACGAGTTCCATCCCCAGCCAGAGAGCAACCCACGTAGCGCAGCAGACCTCTCCTGACTCACCTGCTGCTCCCCTCAGCAGTGTACTTCAGTCAGTCTGCCTGGTGAATCCTCTCACCCCCCACACCTCTGGCCTGTACCCCAGCTCTTGTATGCATAAATAAATAAATCTTTAAAAAAAAAAAAAAAAGACGGGAGTGAAACAGAAGTGAGGACAGCCAGAACAGGGGTGCCATGGCAGGCTGGCTCCTCTAGGCAGTTGTGCTTTATCTTGCAGGATCCTTGAGGAGCTGTGGGATTTCTACATTGGGCCTAAAGAGGAAAGTATTTATCCACTGACTTCTGAATAGGGCTGAGAGGGAGACAAGGGGATTTTGAGCAGCACACATGGTGTCTCTTACAGACTTAGGGAAACAAACTAAGCAAGAACTCAGTGAATTAAAAACAGAAAAAAGAATGATGTTCCAATAAATAGAGAAGCTGATTCTTCGTCAATAAAAGAGAACAACGTTAAAATAAACTGTTAATTTGACCTAACTTTATTCATCTGCTCAGGCAGCTATAGCAAAATCCCAGAGACTGACTTAAACAACAGAAATTTATTTCTCACAGTTCTGGAGGCCGTCAGTTGGAGATCTTGGTGCCAGACCGTTTGGTTCTTGGTGCAAACCCTCTCGTTGGGTAGCAGGCAGCTGCCCTCTGCTGTGTCCTCTCAGGGCAGAGACAGTGCTCTGTGTCTCATTACTGTCAATATTACAGGGGCACCAGCCCTGTGAGAGGAGGGCCCCATTCATAGAACCTCAGTTAACTTTCTGTCTCCGCATGGATCCAAATATAGTCACAGTGGGGTTAGGTCTTCGCAAATGAATTCTGGGGGATGCTTTGAGAGTATAACATTAACCAAGGGGAAGGTCTCAAAGGCACATACTCTCAAAAGAAGTAGAAACAGCAAAGTAGCTCTGGATACAGAGGAAATGAAAAGAATCATGAACCAGTGTTTTCCATGACGACACTGAAGTTGACGTTCTGGAAAATAGAATATTTTAGGAAAATACAAAATTTTCAAAGGCAACTTTAGGAGCAGTTAAAATCAGATGACCAGTCCATGTGTTTTGACTATAATGAGCGAGGGGTGCTGGATCATGGGGTCCTGTAGTGATCCCCTCTCAGGGAGCCATGGCCTTGCCTACTAGCTCTGAGAAGGCTGGGAAGTCAGAGGAGCCAGTCTGGTACCATATTTCTGGCCCAGCTTCCTCATGGTAAGCCTGCATCGTTCGGGAGGCAGACCTCCCAAGGTCTCTGCAGCGGCATTGGGACTCTCGAAGACACTCAGCTGTGTGTGGGGGAACCAGGCAGCATGTGGGGAGCAGCCATGCCCTTCTCTGGATGCTGCCTCAGGAGCCTCTGTACTGGGGCTACAGCTCTGCTTCTCTTGTTGACGCTTGTTTAGAGAAAATCAGTCAAAGACTTTGGTCATGCTGGTTCTTGAGCTGACTCACTGCTATATGAGTCATTGTTTATTACACATCAGACCCTGCATACATTTTGTGTAAACACTTAAGTGTGTATGATCAGGATTTAAAAATTGTCTGGGGCTTCCCTGGTGGCCTAGGGGTTAAGTCTCAGCGCGATCACCATTGTGGCCTGAGTTCGATCCCTGACCAGGGAGCTACCCACATGCATGGTTCAGCAGACCACTCTGTCTCTCCTGCTGCTCCCCTCAGCAGTGTATTTCAGTAAGTCTGCCTGTTCTGCTCCCCACCCTGTCTCTGGTGAATCCCCTCATTCCCCTCATACCTCTAGTCTACACTCTACTTCTGCACACACAAATTGTCTTATTGCTAGCAGTGGTCATCAGGCTGGGGACTGAGCCAGAGAACAGCTTACTCCCTTCCTGTGGCAGCTCCTACTTGCACTCCTCTCAGAATTCGGGTGGCTAAGATCTTCTGAGGGACTGTCATGTTCCTGGTGGGGGTGGCTTGCCTCATGCTGTGCCTCTGTTTTTCCTCAGCTCCAGTTCAGCCCTTTTCTCAGAGGGAGGCCAGGGAATGGCAGCCATGCTTCTGACAGCCTGGCCCCAGGTGAGCTGTGGGTCCTTCCTCTGAGCAGTTTCAAAGGGAAGAAGACAAGAAGAGAACCTGGTTAGGCCTGTGATGAAAGCTGGAGGGGGCCTCCACACTTTGCCTGCTGGACTGGAATTTGTGGGAGCAGCTGGTGACATGGAGGGATGGGAGTCAGGCAGAGGAGAGCATGCCTGAAGACATAGTGGAGCCTTCTGTGTATTGGGGTTCTTTGCTTCGCTGGCAAAGAGGAGATGTGAGTGGATGTGGGCGTGGGAGCATTGCAGAGGCTGCTTGCCAGGGACAGGTGTGGGGAAGAGAAATAGCAGGAGCTGCCCAGCAGAAAGGATGCTGTGCCTGTAGTTCAGGGCGGAGGGGAAGTGCGGGTAAGGGAAGGGGGAAAGAAAGGAAGTCCTATCTGTGGGGCAGCGTGTCTCATTGTATCCTGCAGAGGCTTTCAGGACTTGCGGTGCAGGCGCTCAAACTGAAGCTCCCTGCACCCTCCCCCAGAAAGGAATCTGTGAACCAAACTTTATGTACAATTTCAGGGACCTTGTGGACCTCCTGAAACTCTCCATGGGCTGTAGGGAATGATGAGTGTCGCAACGGAGCATTTGAGGCACTATATACTAAGCTCTTGCACGGCACATTCCGTCCTGGCAGTTAGGTGAGTTAGGTGCTGTGTGTGCTCGTTCTGCCACGAAGATATGAAGGCAAAGGAGTAGAGTGACTTGCTCAAGGTCGCTGCTCAGTCCCCGGACAGATGTGGAACTGGTGAAGTTAATGTTGTCAGATTTGTGACAGCTGTATAGGGAGTAACTAGGGGGAGGGATTCAAAGGTGAGGTGGCCAGTTCTGGGCCAGGCGATTTGGGCTTGTGTCAAGAAAAGTAGTTAAGAGGAGAGAGCCAAGTCAGGCGGTCCTACAGAAATCTGTAGGACATAGTCAGGATTGGGGATCGGGCAAGGGGAGGGAGAGACCGAGAATTAGCCCCTGAGGTTTCCTGCATGGATGGGCCTGGGTGATTGACACCAGCAGAGGTTTACTTTCAGGAGGAGGAGCTTACGGGTGAAGGCAGTGAGCAGAGGAGGCATTTGGTTTTGTGCAGAGAAGTTACTTGACCTGTCCAAGACCACACAGGGGTTGACTCGCTGGGAACACCCAGAGGTTGTATCAGAATCGTGGATGGGTGCGGATCAGTAGACTCATGCAAGGCCCATCCCGGCAGAGGAGTGGAGAAGGAAGTGAATCCCCACTGGTGTATCCCCGGGGTTTTTACAGAAGGCTGGCGTGGATAGAGGGAGAGCAGCTGGAGGTTCCAGGTGCCCAGGAGAGAGGAGTTGTTCCGGGGAGCACCAGGCAGCGTCGCCCTGAGCGACAGCCTGTGCTGACCGCATCACGTGGCAAAGAGAAGCCGAAAAGGGTGGCTGAGTGGCCGGCCAGTGGGCTGGCTGGTCTGTCTTTTTCAGACCTTCTTGGAGAGAGAGAGAACTCTAGAGTGAGACTGGAAAGGGTGACACTTGACTAGGAGAGAACAGGAAAGGTTGGCTGTTCAGTGAGGCTCATCTAGGAGCACAGTGGGGCTGTTTCCCCAGCCCATCTGGGCACTGAGTTGCTGGAGGTGCAGAGGCTGAGGCTGCATGACCTCTGTGGGATGTGGGGGTGTCTCTGATGGGAGTCAGGTGGGGTTGGTTGAGATGGAAGCTGTGGCTGTTCTTTGGAGAGGGCTCAAGGTTTGTGTGAGGGTGAGATGTGGGGAGCCAGCCCCGGGCTGAGGTTAGGCCCTTGGGAGCAGGATGGAGAAGCCAAGACCTCCAGCAGATGAAGCGAGAGTGCAGGTGGGTGGTGCTGAGCCGCCTCTGCCAGGGAGCACCTGGTCTAACCCAGAGAACGGAGTTGCTTTAGGAAGCTCGGGATGAGCATTTATTTTTCATTCTAACTTAACATTATCTTTTATAAATGTAAAAAAATGGCACAATGTTCTCTACTGTTAGAGGAGTCAGATACTCTGTGATTTACTTTTCAGATGCTTTTTCTTAATTCTTACCACAGTTACTAATTCTGCGTCCCTCACAAGCCCCTCCCCAAGCCCTTATACTGCCCTCTGCCCCTCACTTAGGGCCTGAGCCATGGAATTGGCCCTAGGGCAGCAGGAACCTGTTGTTTCAGAAGTCGGTGACCTTCGAGGACGTGGCTGTGTACTTCACCCAGACGGAGTGGGATGGCCTGTCCCCTGAACAGAGGGCCCTGTACAGGGATGTGATGCTGGAGAATTATGGGAATGTGGCCTCCCTGGGTAAGGACTCTCCCTGTGACCCAGACTCTGCCTGGGCTTCCCCGTGCAGGTTGTAGGCAGGGGCCTCTGGTAATCCTTCACTGAGGGAGACCCCCCCAGGGACTGAGATTCCTGGTTCCCTAAACAGAAGGGTCGTGAGAAGGATGAACCACACAACCTTTTTGGACTAACACAGGCCTTTGCTGGGGTTCTGTGGACTTTCAATCCACTTTATAAAGCTCTGTTTTGGACACAGTGTGAAAATTTCTTGCTCTGCAGTGTTATTAGATTCTTCTGCAACCTGCCTGCAGTTCTTAAGTCCAAAGATTTCATGTATTCTGAATATTTCAGGTTAAGGTTAAAAAAAAAAAAATTAAATATTCTAACTCTTTGAGTAGAATCTCCCCATTTGCCCTGCTTGAGACCATCTGGGCCCTTCCCGACTTCCCCCACCACCGTCCCAAAACCCCCTCCCCACTTTCCTTAGGCTCAACCCCCTGGGGCTTTTACCTTCCCTCTCCATTGCCGACATAATCTGAGAGGAAGCTTAGGAACTCATCTGTGGGGCATAATTCACCTCTTTCTGCTTTTCCTTTCCCCCAAACAGGATTTCCACTTCTCAAACCTGCTGTGATTTCACAACTGGAGGGAGGTGAGCTTGGGGGCCCATCTCCACTGGCTTCTGGAACAGGCACAGGCCCCCAACCCCTTTGGACAGGTAAGGGAGGCATGTCTTGCCCATTATGCTGGGGGAAAACCAACCTCTAGGAAGAAAGTCAATGTTAGCAGCCTGTGGGCATGCCGCATTTATTGGCCAGATGCACAATAAATGAAATTTAAATAAATTTTGATGTGTTGGAGAGATAGGTACTGTTGAGACCTTTCTAATCCCAAGAACAGATCTTTTCTCAAGTGCCTCATTCAACTCTAATTTAGGAAGTCTACTTTTCTCAAACAAAATTAATGGATTTAGTCATTTTTGGGGTCCTTGCTATTTTCTAAGCATTGTCCACTTAATATGGAAGATACAGAACTAACAGTCTTTTCACATAGACAGGCAGCATAGCCTGATTGTTTGGAGTATAGTTTCACAGTAGACTTTCAATGTCCAGTTCCAGCTGTACTACCTCCTGGTTGTGTGACTTTGAGCAGGTCAACTCTTTGATTTCTGTAAGAATCAGTGTACTCATCCCTGAAAATGGATAATAATAAAACAAGTTAATAGTATTAGTCTGTAGGTTGAAGATTAAATGAGACGTCAAGTTCCTGGCTTATAGTATGTTCTCAAGCATTTTTTTAAAATTTTAGTTATTTATGGGGCCTCCCCGGTGGCACAGAGGGTTGAGCACAGTGCTGTGAAGCTGTCTGCAGCCTCTACATTGGGGGATCGATTCCCGGCTAGCCAGGGAGATTCCCACATGGCATGGCAGACCTCTCCTGTTGCGCCCGCTGCTCCCCTCAGCAGTGCTTTCAGTCTGTCTGCCTGTTCTGCTCTCCACTTCGTCTCTGGTGAATCCTCTCACCCTTCCACGCCTCTGGCCTGTACCCCAGCTCTTGAATAAATAAAAAATAAAAAAATTAAAAAAAACCAAGATTTATTTATTTATGCATATAAGAACTGGAATGCAGGCCAGAGGTGGGGGGTGGGGCGGTGTGAGAGGATTCACCAGAGACAGAGTGAGGAGAAGAACAGGCAGATCTACTGAAATACACGGCTGAGGAGAGCAGTGGGCGAGACAGGAGAGGTCTGCTGCGCCATGTGGGTCAACTCCCTGGCCGGGGATTGAACTCGGGCCACAGTGGCTGGCGATAGCTTGATAGCACTGAGACTTTAACCCCTGCGCCACCAGGGAGGCCCCATACTCAAATATTTTTAAATAATATTAATTATTCATTTTTGGCAGAGACAGCTGTGCATAGTAAGTTGTAGGAAATAAGCAGAGAGAGGAAGTGCTCTTAATTCATTGCTTCTCAGATGTGCAAACAATCACCTGGAGTCGATAGATATACACGAGTAAGTCTGGGCTGGGGAACAAGATTCTGCATTTCTGTGTAGTTCCCAGGTGAGGCCAGTCCTTCTGGTTCCCAGAACACACTGAAGTAGCAAGGTTCTCATTGGCTCAAGCCAAGGAGCTGCCTGATGACTTCCCATTTCTCCTAAGGTTCAGCTTTTCCTGAATTTGGAATCCATCTGATTCTCACTCATTCTTTCAGTGAATTTGTTTTTTTTCAGAGATTTATTTTATTTATACATATAAAAGCTGGGGTGTAGGCCAAAGGTACATTGTGGGGGTAAGAGGATTTACCAGAGACAGAGTGGGGAGCAGAACAGGCGGATTGACTGAAACACACTGCTGAGGGAAGTAGTGGGCAAGTCAGGAGAGGTCTGCTGCACCATGTGGGTTGCTCCCTGGCCCGGGATCAAACTCATGCTGCAGTGGCTGCCAATAGCTTCATAGTGCTGAGACTTAACCCCTTGCGCCACCATGGAGGCCCATTTCAGTGAAACACATGTTTTCAGTAGGTTTTTGTTCCTTGTGATCATATAACCAAGTGTTCTCTGACCAGGAATGACATAAATGGAGAGTTTAAAGTGCTTGGCAAATGGGGTACTTGATACTGTGGAGATTCTTCATGGAAGGAGCCTGGATTTCATTCTATAGGCAGCAGTTTTTGAAGGACCTATCACAACCTTAGCTGAGCACAGAGACATTCTCTTAGTCAGTCTGTGTAGCTTCACTGGGATGCGGCATGTCACGGGTTTGAGGCAGGTGGAAGGAGAGGGCGGAGGGAGCAAGGCCCATCTTAGCAGAGTTAACTTTCTTTTAAAGCCTTTTCAGAAACCTCACTTGGTAAATTCTGTTTAAATCTTATTTGCTGTGTAGATGGCCATCCTCAATGCAAGAATGGTGGAAAATGTAATCCTTAGCTGTTGTTTTTATTGCTACCTCCCCAAAAATGGAGGCTGTGCTAGTAAGGATGAAAGGGAGAATGAATATTGCTTAGGTGACCAGTAGCATATGCCACACCATGGGATTAGTGCAGAAGAATTAGCAAAGATTGTAAATGCTTGATGCACTAAGAAATACTAGTATTAATCAGTGTGAAAAAGAATGTTCACACTATCATTTTGAGAATAATAAAATTATAGTAAGTGATGACAACAGTGAAATAAAACAGGAAGAGACTTCTGGAGGTGGATATGAATAGGTAGTCTTTCTGGAAAGTACTTTAGCAATACATATCAAGAGCCTTTTAAAAGTTTCTACTTAGGGCCTCCCCGGTGGCGCAGCGGTTGTGCGCTGGGTTGCGAAGCTGCCCGCGACCTCTGCGGTGCCTGTTCGATCCCCGGCTGCTCCCCGGCCACCGGAGGAGGGTCCCACATGGCGCGCAGACCTCTCCTGCCGCCCTTCTGCCTTCTCTTCTTCGCCCTTCTGCCTGCTCTGCTCCCAGCTCTGGCTCTGGTGAATTCTCTCACCCTCCCGCGCTTCTGACTGTACCCAGTGCATGTATAAACAAAACAAACAAACAAATAAATAAATCATAAATAAAAATACATGCCTCTCTAAAATAAAAGTTTCTACTTAATAATCTGGATACTTTTTTCTAGGGCTGTATCGTAATAATCAGATATAGGCAAAGATACACACACACGAAAGAATTCATCAAAGTTTTATATAAAAACAAAGTACTGAAGGGCCTCCCTGGTGGCGCAAGGGATTAAGCACAGCTCTATGAAGCTATCCACAGCCTCTGCAGCATGAGTTTGATCCCCAGCCAGGGAGCTGACCCACATGGCGCAGCAGACCTCCCCTGACTCGCCCGCTGCTCCCCTCAGCAGTGTATTTCAGTCTGCCTGCCTGTTCTGCTCCCCATTCTGTCTCTGGTGAGTCCTTTTACCCTCTGGACTGTACCCCAGTTCTTGTATGCATAAATAAATAAATCTTTTTTTAAAAAAGTACATTCTTAAAAAAAATACTGAAAATAACTTTAATTTTCATCACCGGAAAATAGTTAAATTAAGGTGCTTTTGCAGGGTGGAATACTGTTTAGCAATTACAAAGTAATTGAGTAGCTGGCAATAGCTTGATAGCGCTGAGTAATTTTTATAGACTAAAGACACTGGCAAATGATCATGGTAAATATTTTCATTTTCAATTTTGAAAAAACAATACAGGTTAGGGAAATGCTTGGGCAGGAGAAACATCAGAAGATTAGCAGTTTTTGTTAGGTTTATATTTCAGGTAATTTTCATTTTCTTTATAATTTTCTTTTTAAATTCTTTAAAATTTCTTTATAAATTTCAATTTTCTTTCTGATGCTATAGATGAATGTTGTTTTTATAATTGAGAAAAGATCAATATTTTGAAAATGCTTGGTAGGAAATTCAGGACATTTGGGTCTATTAATGGTGAGTGAGAAATACTAGAGTGTGGAACATTGCATGTGGTTGAGGAAAGACAAAAAATAGAGGCAATTAAATTTTTTTTTTCAGTTGAAGTGATATTGCATTAAGTTTCTGGTGCACATCATTAAAAATAAACCTGTGTATTAAACTACACTAAGTTTGCCACTGAAAGTACATTTTTATCCTTCACTGGAGGAAACAGTTTTGGGCGAAGGTTTTAAGACATTTGGAACAGATGCAGAGATTGGTAATTCTCTGCTACTGACTAATAGAATTATATAAAGCAATTTTAGGGAATGATCAATTTTAGAACTGAAGGAAGAAGCAGAAGGGAGAATGGCAAGGTGAATGCAGCAGTGTTCTCCAGGGACTGAGAGAGATGGGGTCTAAGGACTCAAATGGGCCTAAACAGAGGCCCATTAGCAGAAGTTTCTGAAGTAAAGAATAAAGAAGTTGAAGCAGGGGCCTCCCTGGTGGCGCAAAGGGTTAAGCACTGCACTATGAAGCAATCTGCAGCCTCTGCAGGCCAAGTTCGATCCCTGGCCAGGGAGCAACCCACATAGTGCAGCAGACCTCTCCTGTCTCTACTGCTGCTCCCCTCAGCAGTGTATTTCACTCAGTCTGCCTGTTCAGCTCCCCACACTGTCTCTGGTGAATTCTCACCCCCCTCATCTCTGGCCTGTGCCCCAGCTCTTGTAGGCATAAATAAATAAATCTTTAAAAAAAAAGAAAAAAAGAAGTTGAAGCAGGAAGTTTGGAAAGACTGGAGTTTGAGAACTAAGTGAAGAAATAAATGCTTTCCCTTTAGCTTCTTGGTGCTGCTAACACTTGCCACCCCCAAGGTTGCCTGATGTTGTTGGTTCCGGTACCTTTTTCTTTTCAAGAAATTTTCATTTTTATTATCAAGGGACAGCAATGTAGGCATAACAGGGAAGCGACTGCAAAATGTAGTGAGGTATAACGTGATGGAAAAAATGCTGACCTGGAGGACAAGATCTAGAATTTTGCTCTAATACTATCATTTTCAACCTTCATTTTATTGGTCATTGGTTTTGAGACAGTGATCTTTTTTTTTTTTTTTTTTAAAGATTTATTTATTTATACAAAAACCAGAGTACAGGCCAGATGTGCAGGAGGGTGAGAGGATTCACCAGAGGGGGAGTCTAGCAAATTTCCTGTGCCAGTTTACAAAGTTTCTTGTGTATTCTTCTAGAAGTTTTCTAGGGTATACACATATATGTTGGCTCTTTTTATTTGTATTTATTGCAGAACCCACTCTACATACCCTTTCTCAACTGTTTTTCTATTCCATTGGTTGTCAGCTGGACATCTTTTCATGTCAGCATATATGAACTGACTTTGGGCCCCTTGATAACTACAATCCTTTGTTCTTTGTAGCCCAGTTTTCTTTTTCCAACATGGTTCTTCATGAGATTTTATGTTTTTTTTTTTTTTTTTTAGTAAATACTGATATCCAAACTGACAATAATTTGGCAAAGGAGATGTATGAAGAAAAAGATAATACATCATTTGATCGTCAGAGGAACTTTTTCCAAGAAACAGACTTTTCAGAAGCTTGTATTCTAGAGAAACAGCCGGAAGTCCACTCAGTAGGAAGTAGGAAAAAAGAAAACAATAATGTCATTGATAGAACAGTGAAAGATAAGACAAACCTTATGGAGCACTGTTTAAATCAAAGTCCAAATTTGCATCACTGTCATACTATCTCCACTCAAGAGCAGCCCCCTAAGTGCACACGATTGGAGGAAGCCTTCAACTTTGACACAAAACTTACTCAGTGTGAAATAACCAATACTGGGGAAAGGGCTTTCAAATGTGAAGAAGAAACCTTTAAATGTAATAACTCTCATCTTAATCAACATCAAGATAGCTACACTGTGGAGAAGCTCTACCAGCGTCAGGAGTGTGGCAAAGCCTTTAGTGTTAATGCGAAATTAATTTGGCATCAAGGACTTCATAGTGGAGAGAAACCCTTCAAATGTGTGGAGTGTGGAAAATGCTTCAGTTACAGTTCCCATTACATCACACATCTGACAATCCACAGTGGGGAGAAGCCCTATCGGTGCAACGTGTGTGGGAAGGCCTTCAGTGTGAATGGGAGTCTAAGTCGGCACCAGAGAATCCACACAGGAGAGAAGCCCTATCAGTGCAAAGAATGTGGGAACGCCTTTAGTTGCAGCTCTGCATATCTCACACATCAGAGAGTCCACACAGGGGAGAAACCTTATGTGTGTAACTACTGTGGGAAAGCTTTCAATGTCAACGCAAAGTTAATTCAGCATCAGAGAATACACACTGGAGAGAAACCTTACGTGTGTCATGAGTGTGGGAAAGGTTTCAGGTGCAGCTCCCAGCTTAGGCAGCATCAGAGCATCCACACTGGAGAGAAGCCCTATCAGTGTGAGGAATGTGGGAAAGCCTTCAGTAATAATGCAAAACTCACTCAGCATCAGAGAACCCACACAGGTGAGAAACCTTATGAGTGCACTGAATGTGGAAAAGCTTTCAGTGTCAAAGGGAAGTTAAACCAGCACCAGAGAATCCACACAGGTGAAAAACCCTATAAGTGTAATGAATGTGGAAAAGCCTTCCGGTGTAATTCCCAGCTTCGGCAGCATCTGAGAATCCACACTGGGGAGAAGCCCTATGAGTGTAATGAGTGCGGAAAGGCCTTCAGTGTTAACGCAAAACTATTGCAGCATCGGAGGAGTCACACGGGGGAGAAGCCCTTTGCGTGTAACGAGTGTGGGAAATGCTTTACTTCTAAAAGAAACCTTCTGGACCACCACCGAAGCCACACTGGAGAAAAACCTTATCAGTGTAAGGAATGTGGGAAAGCCTTCAGCATCAATGCCAAGCTAACTCGGCATCAGAGAATACACACCAGGGAGAAGCCTTTCAAGTGCATAGAGTGTGAGAAAGCATTTAGCTGTAGTTCTGACTACATCGTACATCAGAGAATACATACTGGAGAGAAGCCCTTTCAGTGTAAGGAGTGTGGGAAAGCCTTCCATGTGAATGCCCATTTAATTCGGCATCAGAGAAGCCATACTGGAGAGAAACCTTTCAGGTGTGTGGAGTGTGGCAAAGGCTTCAGCTATAGCTCTGACTGTATTATACATCAGACGGTCCATACGTGGAAGAAACCCTATGTGTGTAATGTGTGCGGGAAGGCCTTCAGGTTTAATTTCCAACTTAGTCAGCATCAAAGTGGCCATACTGCAGGAAAACCCTAATAATTGGAAGGATGTGGAAAAGTCAAGTTTAATGCTGAATTGGATCATCAGATTCACCTTAACAGATCCCTGAGAGGGAAATCTACATGGTAGAACTTTCCCATGGAAAGAAATCCTTTCCATTTTATTTAATTTTAAATCAACAATGAAGAGCAGTTGAAAAGTTAACATATCAAAATTGTTTTGTACCAACAACCAGATGGAGAATATAATGAAAAAATATCCCATCCTCAATGGCATGAAGGAAAATAGATTTTCTAAAAATAAATTTTATGTGGGACATCTTGGGGAAAGTTTACAAATCTCTACTGAACAAATCTCTACTGAGGACCACAGATGGAAACTTGAATAAATGGGGAAGAGAGAGAAACCTTGTTCTTGCATAGGAAAACTCATAAAGATGTTCTGTACCTAAGTTAATTTATTTGCCTTTCATTTTTGACAATAAGCATGCATTGCTTTTGCAGTGAAGAAAAACTAATAAAGATTTCCTTTAAAAAGATGATTGAATGTTTTCATGGAATGGAGAAAATCTTTCTAAGCATCATAATAGCCAGAAACCCACCATAAGGAAAATATTGATGAATTGACTTTTGAAAATTAAATGTTTTTTGTTTTAATTAATCCCAAACAAGGTTTTTAAAAGCACCAAAAGTGGAAATAACCTTTGTAGAATTTGTGAAATAAAAGTGCAGTATTTCACATACTGATGACTGAGATGTTCCGTCTCGATTGTATTCTGAAGAGTGAATATAAAAGGAAGCTCTCAAACCTCTCTTGGACAGATGTAAGATCTGCACACAGACGTAAACACACACAGGCCCTGCAACTACAAAGTTTACCCCACAGACACCCCCTCCCCCAACATATACAGGTTCACATAGAGCCACAGGCCACCCCCTACCTACCCAGACATCTCTGATCCTGCACTATAACTTGTGCCAGTGTCAGCTGGGAGTGCTGCCTTGAGTACCGCTAAGTTTCCATTCCTAATGGCGTGGCATTAGGACCTCAGCAGAGCGTCCCAGGGATGATGACATTGTGCAAACCGTGCCCCACCCTGAGTGCAGGTGGACTCAGACGTTGGAACCCCCATAACACAGGAAGGAGCAGGACCCCCTTCCTCTTGACCAGTCAAGCCTGCTTCTCTGGGCAGTTCTAGACCACACACTGAGACCCGGAAGCACCCAGGGCACAGAGTCCTCATCAAGGAGGAACAGGCCCAGACATGGGCGGTGCTCCACCTGGCCACACAGCACATCAATGGCTGATGGGGCCCCTTGCCCCTCACCCTGGACACAGGAGAGGCAGTTCTCAGGGCCCTCGAAGTGCAGGCCCCATGCCCTGCCCCTCACAGAGACCAATACTGAATCTAGTGTAAGAAGATGCATGCCAAAGGCGTGAGTCACTGGCTCACCCCAACTTCCTGGTTTGTGAAAAGCCTCCAGATGGGCTGTGGGTGTGGCAATCAGGAGAGGGAGGGCCTGGGAGGCCCCACAGCCCTGGCTCTCAGCAGGATCCAGCAGTTTCTCTGCTGTGGCAGGACCCCAGCACGAGTTGAGAATAACTGAGGACAGAACCCGATGTCCCACATCTGCCACCAGCGCCCTGTGTAACCTTGTGCCTTTCTGGGCCTCAGGCTCCAGATTGGTGCAGGGTGGGGGCTAGTTCTGGGGCTCTAGGCCCTTCCCACCTAGACGGCTCGAGAGTCTGTTACTGTGCAGGGCAGTTTCTGTTAAGGTCACAGTGACAGGAAGGTAAAGAAGGAAGATGCCTACAAAGCTGTGGGAAGTCTGATGGCCCTTGGATTCCTGATAGATGTAACCTCTGATCACTGCTGCGGTGCAGAACTGCCTGGGTCCAGTGGAGGCCTTGAGAAGACAGGAGCCTCAGCGCTGGAGAACGCTGTCCTCTCACAAAGCACATCTTTTCTCATCTGGAGCCATGGGCCTTTCTCCCTCAGTCTGAGTGTTCTGTCCCACCAACTTGGCGCAAGGGGCTCAGCACAGCGCCCCTGGGTCAGTGGCCCTTGCCCTGCGTGGGGCTGGGGTTCTGAGAAAAGCCTTCTGGATCCTCTTGTCCTCCTGCCTGTGCTTGACCTCCACTTTTGACTGCAACCTCTTCCTGACAAGGAGCTGAGGACATCCTGCTCCTCAGACAGTCCATTGGATTCAACCAAACCGTTGCAGGCCCATCCACCTCCCTGCAGCAGGGTCAGCCAGGTAGGTCCACGCTCCCTGCAGACCACGTGGTCCTCGGCAAATCCAACACCTGCTAAGCCGCCAGGGGCTGCAGTCCCGGGTCTGACCGGCGCTGCCAGGCCCTGAATCCTCCACCTACTCACAGGGAGACAGACGCCCGGCCTGAGCCTCCCTCCTGCTCCAGCTTCGCCTCCCACCGCTCGCTTGTCAGCGTGTGCCCTGTGCGCGCGGGTCCCCAGGTGGCTCCAGTGATCCCGAAGTGTGCCCCCCCCCTCCTCATCGAAATCCCACCCACACGCAGCCTAGCCCAGCCTCCAGGAAGCCCTTCCCGGCTGCAGGATTTGCACAGCGGTTCTCTCTGGGCTCTTCGGCCACCACGGTAAGGCGAGCTTGTGCCGCTCGTTCTGTGTCTCCTGCCGCCCCAGGCCTGGCAGCCCCGCGCCCACGTGCTCCTGCTGCGCCTCAAGGCTGGCCCGCAAGGCCCGGGCCCCGGCGCGCGGAGGGGGCGCCCGGGGGCTGCCTCTGGGCCCGCGCGCTCAGCCGGCCTGCGGCGGGCGCCTTCTCGCCCTGGATTCAGTTTTGGTCTCGGTGTGAGAGGGGCAGGACACGGGGCCCGCACGTCCAGGGCCTGAGATCTTCAGGGGCTGGGAGAAGCCATTAGGAGTTACTGGCCGCCAGCTTGGCCTCCTGCTGCCCCTGGTGGGCAAGTGGCTCACCGCAGGCGGGGGTGGGGATAGGGGACCCCCAGCCCACCCTACTGCAGGGTCCCCTCGGGACCCCCTCAGCTGCTCTCTGATCCCCAGGGGTATCCCTTGAGCAGCTGCTGCAGGCCCAGAGTCCTGGGCAAACACGTCTGAGTTCTTGTTGGAAAATCCTCCCGTGGATCGGCGGAGGGTAAGCGTGGAGGCCGGAGCGGACTTGATCTCAGACACGGGGCAGGTCCTTGGGGCCCTGGGGCGCCCCCTGCAGACCAGAGGCCGGCGGTGACGCGGAAGGTTTTGTGGCGCTCGGCGAACGTTCCCCGCAAGAAGCATAACCCCCCCCCCCACCTCAGGCCCGGCCTGTGCGCTCACGTGCGGAGACCCGCGAGGAGAGGTTTGTCAAGGCCCGCGGGTGAGGCCGGGGGCTTTGCTCGCGGGTCCCTGCGGAGGTCAGACGCCCTCCCAGGACAGAGAGCAGGATTCGGGGCCCCAGTGTCCCCCTCAGGGCGGTGGGGGCGGGGTGTGCGGCGGGTAGGAAGAGCCAGAGGAGGAGCTGGGGGGAGACGGGCCCCCACCATGCGCTCCTGGCCAGGGTGCGCGGTAAGGGATGGTGAGTTGGAGGCGTCCCAGGAGCGGGATGGGCAAGAGAGAGGACGCACCGTGAGGGGGGCCTGGAGAACCCCAGTTCCCCACCCTTCCTTACTCTTCCAACTGAGGGCTGTGCCCCTTCCAACTGGGGGCTCGTCCCCGCCGAGCTCACCGGCGCCCCCTTGCTGGGCCCCCGGGTCTCGGTCAGCGCCGGGCTCCTGCAGGAGGCGCCCTCCCCGCCGCGCGCTCCGCCGCTGGGCCTGGGCCTGCGGGTTCGCGGCCCCGGGAGGCCGCCCCCGGGGTCCGGCGGCCTCGCCGTGATCCACTTCAGTTGAGTGGAGCGTGAGCCCGTCGGGGAAGAAGTGTTTTGTGCTGTGTTTGTGCCTCATCGAGCGCCCACATTCCCCCCACCCGTGATTCCCACAGGCCTGCAGCGGGGGAAGAGAGGTTTCCTGCTGGGGAGCAGCCGCGCGCACCCCACCAGGAGAAGCGCGGGGCGGGGAGCCCGGGGCGTTACCCCCCAGGTGGGCCCGGGTTGCTCCCCGGCTGCCGCCAGAGGGCGCTTCAGCCACTTGCGCGCCCCAGGCTGATGCTTGAGGTCGGGCTCCGAGAGCCCCACCTCTGCTTACCTGAGTAAGGAAGGGTGGGGACCTGGGGTTCTCCCACCATGTGCTGGGAGCTCCCCGGCAGTGCGACCAGAGCTGGCCAGGCTCTCTGGGCAGGGGTGGCCGCACTGGCTGGGTCTCCTCACAGAGAAGCGAAGGTAAGAACCCCGCCGGCTGTGCTGTCTGGGGGGTTGTTGGATGGAGAAGAAAGGAAATTTGCTTTGGGGGGTCTTGCTTGTGCCTGTCTTTGTTTAATTTGGGAGTGGTGAGGTCAATGAGGGGGTAGGAGCGGCAACAGGCTAAACCTGGGTGGGGGCCGATCTTAAATACCAGCTAGCTGGGCATTACCTTGAAGGCCACCAAAGTTTCGGGCCCCAGGGAGGTGTAAAAGACGGGGTGAGAGAAAGGGAGGGAGCTTCGGAGGCCGGAAGTCACGGCTGGGGAAAGATTTCTCTAACAGCAACCATTTCGGAACTTCTGCAAAAGAAGGAAGCCAATGGATGAGAAAGAAACAGCAGCAGAGGAGAGTGGGTTCAGTGAGTAGGGCCGGCCAGTGCAGGGGTACGGGGAGGCCCAGCCAGAAAAGGTGCGGCCTCACAGCCCCCACCCCTCCTGCACAGAGGGCCCAGCGCCCGGGGGCCCGCACCGCTTCTCAAATGGGAGTCCCTGTGGGCAGAAGCAGCCTCTGCACCACCCGGGCATTTGTTAGTAACGTGAGGTGAAGTCTCAGCCCCACCCCAGCCCTACAGAACTGGGCACAGCACCCTATTTGAAAAAGCCCTGCAGGGGATTCTAACGCAGGCTCACGTTTAACCTGAATGGGGCCGCCCCAGAAGAGTCTTCCCTGGTGCTCACCTCCTGTGGTGAAGGAGGAAGGAACTCAGGGCCAGGCTTGTTCGAGCTGGGGCAGAGGCAAGACAAGGAAGAGGGGCCTCTCCCCTCCCCCTCTCTTAGGTACCCACATCGGTATCACCCAAAGTCAGCCTTCCCGAGCAAGGGCGTTAGCCAGGAGGCGAGGACTGGAAATGGCTCTTGGGAGCCGTTCAACCTGACGCGCCATCTTTGCTCAAACACTGCCTCTGGTGGGGGAGGCTTGAACCCAGCTCTAAGACTTACATCCCCTAATAATTTCTCAATAATTTCTCACTCCGTCTTGCCTCCTGCCATGAATTCCCGGCTCACCCTCAGCCTAGCCCTCCAGGGTTAAGGGCAGCCAGGTTGTGGCTCTGCAGGAGGCTGTGACCACACCCCCGTCACCTGACCTGCTTCAGCCCCTGGGCTTGATGATCAATTAGGCTTCCCATTAGAATCAGCCCGGCTGCAAGAGAGGGGCAGTGCCTGGGCCCAGGTGGGGGAGGAGGGGTCCCGCCACCATCAGGGTCTCCTCTAACCCATCAGGGTTAGACCTGCCTTCAGAGGTGAGTTCCCTGCCCTCGGGGATCAGTGAGGGCTTGTTTGCTGGCAGAGTGAACCCCAGCTCTAGCATTTGGGGTCCAGCTGAAGCTTTGGAAAAGGAGTTTCTGGGTAAGGGGCGGGATATCTGATATCTGTGTTCCTAACACAAGGGGAGTGGGTGACAGCCAGTCTCTCTTCTGATCTTTCTAGAAAACCTTGTCTTAGTCATAGCGTGAAATCGCCCCACTTCCTTTAAGCTGTACCCAAACTCCACGCCGGGGCCTGGACTCACACGTCGGCTCTCATGGGCTGGGAATGTCTGCACTCCACGCAGCCACCCTCACCGGGACAGCTTCAAGGAGCCTGATGATTGTCGGGCTGGAGTTCATTAAGAACACTGAGGACCCAGCACTGTAATCTGGGGGTAAGATGAGGAAAAAAGGATTCGCTAAGAAAAAGACTCAAGATCCTGCCAGTTTGAACTTAGGTTCAGAAAACCACCAATGTACAAAATCTACCGGAGTTATTCCTTGGGTGACTCCCATTCAGATGAACCATTTGCCAATTTCCTTCCCTAAAGGCAGCCGCTCTTCCTAATTTATGTGCATGCAGATATGCAAGCTAGATTCTCCTTCATCCTTTCATGTAAAAGCTGCTCATCGTGTTCATTGTTCTGAAGTTGAATCGCCCCCTTCCCTCCTCCCTAATTAATATAACGGGATTGTCCATATCCATGCAGAAGGGTCCTTGTGCTTTGTAACAGCTGCATAGTACTCCACACAACACTGGAGATCTGTAATTTCCCCATTCCCTTCCTGAGGCCTGTGGTGGTTTTCCAGGCATCTGCTCTCAGTCAGTGCTTCTGCTTATACATTATCACTCCCATATATTCAAATGCATCAATTGCCCGGGTCTTGTTATTTTCTGTTAATGGATCTCTGGGGCTCCCCAGGGCTTTTCTGGGGCTGGCTGTTGGGCAGCTCATAATGGAACTTCTTGAAGGAAGATCTGGTTGCCTTGAGTCCTCAAAGCTCTGGCCCCAGCCCAGAGTGTCTTCCGTTTGTTGTTTGCCCTGACCCTTGTATAATTCTGAGCGCTCAGCGCGCTCATCCCATTCAGTTCTCAGGACTGGACCGCGGGGGAGGGCAGCTCACATCCCTGCCGCCCAGTAGCCTCGCCATCTTATGCAGCCTCACCCCATCCAGATGAGCATCAAGTCTGCATGCCTCTTCGGGCTCCCCCCACTGTCCCTCAAGAGGGCCAGACACCCTGTGATTGTGGAGTCTCCTCTTGGGTTTCAATTCCACTGGGGTGAGGCCGCATTCGAAGAGCAAACCTTTAGATGAAAGGTTCGTACGTGACCAGGAATTCGGTTCATGGGTCTAAGAGGAATGCATCCATCTCATCAGGCACCCCGCCTCCGGGGGTCTGTGGGGCTGCGCTGGCGCCATCACCACCAATGTTGAGTATCAAAAGTTAGTTGGCACAGGGCCTCCCTGGTGGCGCAAGGGGTTAAGCACTGCACTGTGAAGCGATTCACAGCTTCTGCAGCAGGAGTTCGATCCCCGGCCGGCCAGGGAGCAGCCCACATGGCGCAGCAGACCTCTCCTGTCTCCTGCTGCTCCTCTCAGCAGTGTATTTCAGTCAATCCGCCTGTTCTGCTCCCCACTCTGTCTCTGGTGGATCCTCTCACTCCCCGTATCTGTGGCCTATACCCTGGCCCTTGTATGCATGAATGAATGAATCTTTAAAAAATAAAAAAGGTCGGCACAGTCCTTCTGTAACAGGGTGGTCCCCAGGAAAGGGGGAGGTTCCAGGTTCCCTGCCCCACCCAAGGGAGGGTGGAGCTGAGCAGGAAGAGGAGAAGCTGGAGAAGAGACTGAGGAAAGAAGCAGGATGGAGCCAGGAGACCTGGAGGAGGCACATGGAGCCTAGAGACACGTAAAAAAGCTGCGCTTGTCTTTTGGTCGTGGACTGGGTGACACAGATGTGGGTGAGACCCATGGGGAGGTGACAATGGCAGCTTTTATCTTGATGTTGATTTTGCTCTTTTCCTTCCGGGCTTGTCCAGTTGTTTGTGACCCTTTTCTGTGGGTCTCCACTGGAAGATGCTTTAGACTTGTGGCAGGCCTTGGGGCCTTGCTCTGGGCCAATCCCATATGGATGGAGTTTTACCCACGAGGGGACGGGTAACTTTGGGTGCTTCATTTAGAAACTAGACTCTTTGCCTTACCTGTGTTGTTTCCTAGTTTAATTAAAGTTCCTTCCCATTAAAGTCTCCTATGTTTTGTGTTGATGCGGCGGATGGCAGAACCCATTTAGAATAGGCAGGTTTGTGGGGCTTGGGCTGCCCCTCTCCCCGTCCTATAACACTTCCAATTCTGTCCCTGAGAGAGGGGATCTCACCCCTTCTGGTTAGCCCAGTGCTTCTGGGTGCATCTGCGTATCCACATCTCTCTCTTGCTCCAGGGGCCAGGAGACTTGGGAACCCAAGAGCTGCCGTTTCCAGAGCCCTGGAAGCGGCGGCCCCGACGCCTTCCCTGCAAGGACATGAGCGAAGCCGCAGAAGAGCCCTCCTCTTTCAGGATCCTCACGGTGTACGAGGAAGCAGAGGAACAGAGGGACGTGCCAGAAAGCTCTGGTGCTTCCTCTCAGCCTGAGCACCAAGCACAGGCCCCACTGGGACAGTCAGGTGGTGCGCCCCCGCAGTCCCCCGCGCCCCCAGCCCGGCAGGACTTGATTGAAGATGCCGGGACCCCACCGCCCTGGGCCCGCCAGGCCCTGGACACCCCGGAGCCCCAGGCCACTTGGCTCCCTGAGGCAGAGGCCAGAGAAGCAGCAGAATTCAGCCCCAGGTAGGTCTCCCCCAAACAAGACAAGAGGGGGGTGAACCCTGCTGGGGGGCAGACATTCCATGCTTGTCTCCTCCCTCTCTCTCCGGTCAAAGCTTCCTGCCAGGGTCGGAGTCTGGTGAGTCTGGTCGGAGTCTGGTGTGGGCAGGGGCCGGGGGCCGGAGGCCTGGTGTCGGCAGCGTGGCCTTCTCCCCAGTTCTGCTAGTCTGTGGCCGCCGGACACCGTCTCGGTGAGCGCGTGGCCATTGTGTTCCCCTGCAGGCCAGCCCTGCCCTTTGCCTCCTCCCAGTGAAGACGTCAGGTCACTGCTCACAGCCATTGTAAGTGTCTTTTCTTAAAACAAAACATGAGCTCGTTCCCTTCCCCGTGACTCCTCAGAGAGAGGCCCGTAGCCAGAAGGGGGGGGCCGCCGTGTGCGCCCTCCCGCAGGTGGGGCTGAGAACCAGGCTGCCTGCCTTCGCCCACAGCAGCAGGTAAGGCCTCCAGCTCACAGGGGCACCCCTTCCTGGGGGCCTCAGCCCGGCTTCCCCCTCACAGCTGTGGTCCTCATCCCCCAGGGAAGGAAACCTGGCACCCTTGGGGCTCTGCGGCTGGTGGCTTGGCCAGGGATTCCTCCAGAGGACCGGGCGGCTGTCCCGTGGGTGATGTAGGCCCGTACTGGGGGCCTTTCATGGCCACCCCACCCCTGTCCACAGCCTCCTATCCCCGAGGAAGTGGCAGTCAGGCAGAGGCCCCCACGGACGTGCTGGAAGGTGGGCACCCTCCGCCACAGAAAGAAAGTCTACGACGTGGCCATCAGCAGCTCTACCCACCACGTGTACACATGTGGCCACGGCTACATCAAGGTGTGGGACGAGAGCGCCCTGCATGCCTGGGACAAGGCCCCGCAGGCTCAGGTGGACTTTCAGGTGAGGGGTGCTCCAGAAGGTGGTAGGGACCCCAGCATTCCCTCAAGAAGGGGCGCCCCTCTGAGGGGGCACACATGGCAGCTCTCCGCTTCTAGTGACGGGCCCTCTCTGCGGGGTCATGGGGAAGGGAATGATCTCATGTGCCCCGGGCTGTGCTTGGAGGAGGTGAGAGAGCGGGGCCGTTCCCACAGGACCGTCAGAGCTGTGTCATCACCTGCAAGCTGTTCCCCGACGAGCAGAGCCTGATCACTGGGGGGCTGTCCCGGCACTTGACTCTGTGGGACCTGGCGCCCACACCCCGCATCAGGGCACAGCTGGCCTCCTCTGGCTACATATGCTACTCCCTGGCCATCTCCTCCAATGCCCAGATCTGCTTGGCTTGTTTCAAAGGATTTGTTGAGATTTGGGATTTGCAGAACCAAATCTTGATCAGGTATGACCTGGGGGAGAGCTTGACAGGGAGGCCTTTCTGGACCGCCCCCCCACACACCCACTTTGCAGTAGGTGAGTCCATGTAGAGAACATATGGGGGAATCCTTGGCTTCCTGGCCCAAAAACTTCTGGGGGTCCAGCCAGCGCAGGGACCTCTGAGTTGTGTTCCCACCAGGAAGCAGGAGGTCCCCAGACATGGGTCGCAGTGTGTGGACATCGTGGGCAATAAGTTCTGGACAGGAGGGGAAGACACCAGCCTGTATTCCTGGGACCTGAGGAGCTACCAGAGGCTGCAGCAGGAGCATTTACGCCACGAGGTGCCTGGCAGGCCACGACGGGCCTGAGCTGGGGTCTTGGGTGGATGGGGTGGGTGCGTGTGATGGCGATATTGAAATGACCTCGAAGCTTCTTCCAAGCAGATTGTCAGCATCACCCACGACCCCAGTGAGGAGTGGATATTAGTGGGCTTGAGAAACAGTGATATTGTAATCAAGCACCCGCACCGGAAGGAGAAGTTTAAGGCCGCCATAGGGAACAGATACGTCTTCTACCACAACCTCAAGTTTGCCTCCTGTGGTGAGTGGGAACTGGGGCACCCTCAGGGGTCCTGTTGAACTCCACAGGCCTGGTGCCCCCCTCATTTTAGACTCTGCAGCCTCCCTCTCCAGCCCCTTCACTCTCCCAGGTCTCCCTCCCTCTGCCTGCCGCCTGCCTCTCCTCCCTGCTTTCCTGCTCTTCCACGTGGAGTGACATTGCAGACACAGACAGACGGACGAGGCACCAAGGCTCGTTGTCCTTTGGTTCAGTGATGTCATGATTTCCTGCGTGCTTAGAGGCAGGGGGCAGATGACAGATGCTTTGGGTCCCATCTCTGATTTTAGAGACACGGGGAAACTGAGGCAGAGAGCGAGTTCCTCTTTCATCTGCTGGGGGCTGGAACGCCGCCCCATCTCTGACCTCCCTGTCTCCCCCTCCAGGGAGCTATTTCGTGAGCACACTGGACGAGTCCATTCACTGCTTAGCTGCGCCTTCTCTGCAGAGGTTGTTTAAGGTACCAGAAGGAGGGATGCGCAAACATAGGACTTGGGCCCGACGGCCATGGGTTCCAGCGAGTGCTGTATCACACCTCTTGGGGGGGGGGCACAGGGCCTTTCCATAGATGGGGTGGGGAAACTGAGGTTCCGGAGCCCTGAGACCTGTTCGTCTCCAGTCTGAGCCTTGGGTCTATGCTGAGACTTGAAACAGTCCTGAACGAAGCCTCACTCTCCGTGCAAACTTGTCCTGCGCATGTGGCCCCTCTTTCGGCCTGTCTTTCCAGGCAGAGGAGTCTCTAAACATCCTGTGTTGCGACATGTCCTCTGACAGCCAGTATCTGGTCACTGGCTCCAAGAACAGCGCCACGGTCTATCAGCTCTTGTACTGAAGGTTGTGTGTGCTGGTCCTGCGGTGGGGGAGGCCCCCAAGGAGACAGCGCGAGAGCACGCGCGGTGCCGGACAACCTCAACCTACCTCCTCCTGATCCTGATGACTGCCTGTTCCCACCCCCTGCCCCCTTCCCCCAAGCTTTGATTAGATGGCTTAGGGATTCGCCCTTTGTAATTTTTTTCCCACCGGTTTCTGAGTTCAGATGGGAGCTGTTGAATAAAGTAGAAATGCAAAACCCTGCAAAGGATATGTGGTCAGTGCCTTTGAATAACAAGCTGATTGTGAGGGATTGTGTGCATCCCAAGCTGCCAGCTCCAGGGTGGAGGAAGACTTTGAGATCAGGTTTAGTTTATAAATTTTTTTGGCAGAGTAGTCAGGGATTCTTGGAATCTTCAGAAAACTCAAGAAGACACATGTGTATCTGTCAACTTTGGGATCATATCCTAGAGTTGGTTGACCAGTGCCGCTCTGGTGAAGACATCAAGGGCTGGGGTAACCACGTCCCAACCAAGGGCTCCCTACTTCCCTTGGAAACTCTACTTCATGGCTTTTCTATGGATTTGACTTTTTTTAAAAAAAAAAAAAAAAGAATTTATTTTTATTTGTTTATGCTTACAAAAGCTGTTGTGTAGGCCAGAGATGCAGTGGGTGAGAGGATTCACCAGAGACAGAGTGGGGAACAGAACAGGCAGACTGACTGAACTACACTGCTGAGGGGAGCAGCGGGCGAGACAGGAGAGGTCTGCTGTGCCATGTGGGTCAGGTCCCTGGCAGTGACAGCACTGAGACTTAACCCCCGGGCCACAAAATGCAGCCATTTTGAAAAACAGTTGCTAGGTCTTCAATGCTCAACAGAGATAACCAGATGACCCCGCAATTCCACCCTATGTGTGTCCATCCACGAGAATTGAAAAGAAAGGCACATGAATTGGATGAATAATAACTGGGGAGGGACAAAGTAAAAATCATTCTAAAATTCTTTCTGAAAAGAAGACTATAGCTTTGATTTATAGTTGTCAAGCAGTAGCATCGTAATTTTAGATTAATTGTTAAGAGAATAGTAAAGGTACAGATTTCATACTAATACAGGAAAAATACTGGAATAATGTAATATAAAATGAGGTCAATTAGTTTAATTATTAATTACAATGAATATCATTTTAGTAAGTCATTATTTGTAGTTTAATTTTATATTAACCCATTGTTAATGTGAATAAAGTCATAATAATAATAGTAATAATAAAGCAATCCAAAAGAAGAGAAGAATGGAAAGAAAAGCAACAAAAAATGGCAGAGCAGAAAAGGAAACATTAGTAACTTGACAATTTAGATGCAAATATGTCAGTGTTATATTAAATGTAAATAGAGCAAATATTCCTGTGAATCTGTAGAAATAATATGATTAAAAAATCTCACATTTAGAAAAGACATGTTAAAATATAGATACAGGAAATACAAAGACCAGAAAAAGATACTTCCTACACACAGTAAATCAAAGGAAACATTATTTTAATATTTTACATCCATTTTGTAAAATAAAAAGAAATATTTGAGATAAAGGTCAACACTTCCTAAGTCTGTTAACTGCATTACCAGGAAGATGCAAGATTTCTCTCGTTTTATGCATTTGTCAATGTAACATAGAAAGAAGAATGGAGAAAAAATAGACAAAGCTATCTCAGTAACCAAAAATTCAAGCAGACAAAAAATTAACCGGAAAAGAGAAGCTTGTAAAAACACAGATAGCAGAGTTGAACAATGCGCTTGGAAAACTCAAGACAATGGATAAATCACCGCAGAATCCACGTTTACTTTTTTTACACTGACAAAAACTTGGGCATAGTGAGCCATAGATTAGAGAATTTCTTACAAATATATTCCATGATTACAAAGCCATCAAAACAGAAATGAATAACAAAAAGAAAAACTAGAAATTTTCCTAATCTTGGAATTAAGAAATACACTTCTAAGTAACCGGTAAAGATTAAATCACAAAGTGATGGAAAAATATTGTAAACTGTGTCATAGAAAATTGAAGGATTCCGATAACACTGTGAGAGGACTTAGCCAATCTGGGGTCACCGATGTCAAGTCCCCCCTTGTTTCCCCGGTCGTCGTGGGGACCTGTCCCGTGTGCCCAGGTCTTCAAGTAAAGGAAGTTGGGGGGAAAGGAGATTGCAGGTGGACTTGGGGTCTGATTTTCACAGATGTTGCTGAAGCAATTAACCATCGCTTTGGGACCATCCTCCACAGTCGCTCCAATACTGCGCACTGTCATTTTGGATTTTATTTCTGGGACAGGGGACAATTTTCCCTCATGGTCACGACTCACAATTCCTGTGCAGCCAGAGTGAGCCTCAGTCATTTTTTTCTCAATCTGTTACAGGGCAGGAAGAGGGGCACCCCAGACCCCTCAAACCTGCCTGCTCTTTATAAATAGGTTCTGCCATCCTGCTTCCTTTCCTCAGTCTCCTCTGCAGCTTCTCTCCCTACTCAGCTCCACCCTCCCTTGGGTGGGCCAGGGAACCTGGAGCCTCCCCCTTTCCTGGGGGCCACCCTGTTACACGTCCTCTGGCAGCGCCCCACGGGGTCGGGTTGGGCCCCTGGGGTGTCCCCGCTGAGTGTGTAAAGCATCGCCTCAGGGCGCGACAAAGCGGCTCTCCCCTCTCTGAGGCGCGAACTCCAGACCTTCAGGTGACGAGACTGACGCGCTGGCCGCTGCGCCAAGAGGCCCCCGCGCCTGCGTCTCTTCTGTGTTACTAAAGGGAAAGCGGCCTCAGCCCCTGAGGCCGCAGGACGCCGCGGGTTTCTCGGCCTCTCGCCGCAGCCAGACCGGGGCGCCTCGGCGAGCGCGCGGAGGCCGCGGGCGCTGCGGACACGCCCCCCGAGCGCGCGCCCCGGCCCGACGCCGCGGGACCAGCCGACGGCGCCTGCCCCGCGCAGCCCCTGAGGAGCCGCGGCGCGGACGCCCGAGGTGAGCGCGCGTCGGGGGGCGCAGGGCTCCGAGGGGTGACCCGGGGAGCGCGGCCGGGGTGACAAGGACGGGCAGCGCGCGGGGGGCCGCGTGGCCGATGAGTGGCGGTGAGCGCGGGGACCCCGCCTGGAGGGGCGACGCCGGCGGCGGGTGGCAGCGCCCCGCGCCCCTCGACGGCGGGGTGGGCCGGGAGGCGGGTGAGGGCGAGGCTGGGGCGTCTCCAAACCTGGGTTTTGGTTTGAGAGTGAGGAGAGGCAGAAGGCAAGGAAGACGCCAGAGGCCTCCCGGGAAAAGTAGATGCTTTTTTGGCTTTTTTAAAAACTCGGAATGTGGGGCCTCCCTGGTGTCGCGAGGGATTAAGGCGCAACCTGTGTAGCCGTCCGCAGCCTCTGCGCCACGAGTTCCAGCCCCGGCCAGGGAGCTACCCCCGTGGCGCAGCAGACCTCTCCTCACTCACCCGCTGCGCCCCTCAGCAGTGTCCTCCAGTCAACTGGTCTGCCTGTTCTGCTCCCCGCTCTGTCTCGGGTGAATCCTCTCACCCCCACACCTCTGGCCTATAAATCTTAAAAAAAAAAAAACAAACAAAAAACCTTTAAAAAATAATAAACTCAGAATGTGCATTTTAACCTTGGTTGTTGATTAGTGTCATGGAGCTGAAACATGACACGCAGTTCCTGCCCCCAAGGAAGTTAGGGTTCTTGGAGGCAGAGGCACCCCGGGGCGGGGTGTGGCCTGGACTCAGGGGCCTCCTTTCTGCTGGAAGCGCGAGGTGAGCGGTTGGTGGGTAGGAATGTGGGGGAGCTGAACCGTCCAAGAGGCAGTTGCCGGGCGGGGGGAGGCTGTGAGTGAGCGAGCCGTTGGGATGAGGAGGCTGCAGGAGAGGGGTGGGCCCAGCGCAGAGCTTCATATATGAAGAGGACCTGGTGACCCACACTGCTGAGAGCTGGAATGAGGGAGCTGGGAGGGGCGCGGGGCCCGGCGGTGGGTCAGTCCTCTCCTCGCCCCGTGCTGGGCTGAGCGAGGACTCCCCGGGGGTCTCCCAGGATGATCGCTGATGCGGCCCCACCGGCGGGCGGGGCCAGCGCAGGGTCAGCCGAACCGGGCTTCTGGATGGAAGGATCGAGCTACTAGCAGAGAGGGGTTTAGGGGTGAGCTGCCTGGGGCTGAGACCAGGGAAGAGGCCGCTGGGGGTTTCCAGGAAAGGCTGCCATCCCCTTGGACCTCGGGAATGTGCATCTGTCTGTCCTTCCAAGGGGAAGAAGATTCAGCCCACTGAGATTTGCCCCACACAGTCAGAAGGGGAAGAAAGTGCTTGAGGGTCTTGAGGACCCAAGGGGTGGTCCTGGCTGCTCTCACCTTGGAGACCAGGAAACATCCCGGCTGGGAGAGGGGTTCTTGGTCCAATAACTGGATTCAAACCTCTTTTGTGCACCTGTGGGGGCCTTTGTAGGTTTAGATGAGCTCATGTATATAAAGTATCTTTATAAGTGTGTAAAGTACTCAACAAATGCTACCATTCCTTAGGGGACAAGACGAGATGAAGACGAGATGATGAAGACGAGATGGGAGTAGCAACCCCGGGGGTGGGGGGGCTGCAAAGTCCCCGGAGCCCTGCGAGGAGCAGATGGAATGGAGTCAGCGTCCCCCAGCTACATGCCAGGTATGGAACACGCGTGGCCCCAGACCGTCCTTGCTGTAATCCTAAGGGGGAGTTTCTTTTGTCCACCCATGCTGGGATCCCCCAAACCCAAGGTCACCACAGCATGACCTATGTTTCCTGCTGGGATCTGGACCTTGAATTTAAATGGCCCTTAGATGGAAGGCCTCCTCCCTTGGAGACGCTCATTTGCAGTATGCCCTCCCAGCCTCTCCCAATGCTGGTGACCCCCTTGCAAGCCTGTTACAGGGCAGCCCTTCCCTTTGGTGGTGACGGGATTTGGAGTGGGGGTGGAATGGGGGTGGAGTCCACAAAGCCTGTATGGAATTAGCTCAGGACATCCTTTTCCCCTAACAAGCCCACCCTGCAGGGGATTTTCCCTGGCTACGTTTTTGCACTCTTAACACTTTCTTCTCCTTTCCCTAGATTTACAGCTGTTCCCACCCCAGACTCCAGGTGAGAGGTTGGACTTGATTGTTAGTTGGGTGTGTTGGGGGGATCTAAGAGGACGGAGGTGCCTTGAGCCAGGGATGGGCTCATTACCATCTCCGGAATTCCCCAGGCCAAGCTACAGGGAACTTCCTAAACTCTACGAAACTCTCGCCACCGTTTGTTGCCATCTGGGGCAGGCCCAGGGGCTCACGGGAGCAGATTGCCAGTCCTGGAATCTGGGATGAGGTCTATGCCATCCCACCAGTACTTAGCCAGTGACCTCGAGCAAGCAGGTTCCTTGTGTCTCCTCCCTCTGTTTACCCCCCTCCCCCTTGGTTTCCATCTCTGCTTCTAGGGCATTGAAGTAGACTCTCCCCATGGGCCTCTGGTCTCCAGGACCTGGTTCCTCCAACTTTACTTTGCACAGCAGACCCCTGGAGAGCTTGTTAAAATGCAGATTCTATTCTATAGGTTTGGGTGGGTCTGCAGAGTTTGCATTTCTAATATCCCTGGTGAGTTGTAGGGGTGGCCTGAGAATCTTACTTTGAATCACAAAGGTCTGGCTTGGAGGTTTTCTGCCCTTGAATAGATGGAAGGTCTGAGGTTGCAGCTTTCCTCGCTGCCCCCATTGTGAAAACTAAATTTCCTCTGGGGAGATTGTAAAAAAGCTTGATGGTAGGGTTGCACCTCGGGCCAATTAGAGTTTCTGGGGGTGGGAACCTGACGTCGTGGTTGTTTAAAGCTCCGCAGAAGACCCCAATCTGCAGCCGGGGCTGGGAACCACCGCTTTGCCGCCCAGGCGGAGGATTTAAGACAAATTAGCGGTTTTCTGGTAAAGCTTTTGTCTCCTGCTGCCCCCTTGTGGCCATCTTGTTTCCCCACAGTCAAATTTACCCTCGGGGATTTCCCGTGGAGTCGGGAGTATCCGAATAAAGGCAATGATGCTGTTGCTATGAGGGGCTCCCCTACCGTCCTGAGACCCACCCTGCCGTGAGCGGGTCCCCCCACGCTCTGTCTTTAAGCTGAGGAGAATTCACAGTCCTGGGGGCGTTCCAAATGAGATGGAACCCCAGGTCTGGGGTGACCTGGGCACTGGGAAGGTCCAGGAAAGCAGGAAGGCAGGCCCAGGGCATCAGCCAGGACAGCCAAGCAGGAGGCAGGGACCTGGCCCACAGCATCTGTGCCAGTAGACCGAACAGATGCTTGGCGTGACCCCCATCCTGACAACCTGCCCTCTGCGGGGAGGAGTAGGTTCCCAAAGTGCTCTGACTGCAGCCTTGCCACATCGACTTCTGCTCTCTGAGACTGTTTCTCCTCCATCAAATGGTGGGGTCCATCCCTTGTAGCTGGTTCTAGGATGAAGTATCCCCCAGACCATCCTGGGCTGTGGTGCTGCTATAGCCTCACACATGGTCCTGAGGGCACCGGAGTCACGAAAGCCAACCTGCTCCCTCAGTGGGGACTTGTCCTGAGCTCAGCATTTTCTCCTCTCTGCAAGGCCCCCAGGGCAGTGACAGCAGATGAACTGGGGCCCCTTAAGAGATGCACGTGATGGGGTTTTTGGAGTTGCGGAGTCCTTGGGTTCACTCTGGGAAAGGCTTCACCAGAGCTCCCGTTTCAGCGGCACGTGGTGAGTTCCCCAGGCGGGTTTCCCCACGAGACAGAGACGCTAGTTATATTTAAAGAACAGGTTTTTTAGGGAAAGGGAAAGGGACAGGTTTGCTGAGCGAGGCCTGCATGAATGCAGGCGGGCGGCCTTGAGGAGAGCGGCCTTTGCTGAGGGAGGTCAGTGAAGAGAAGTCCCGGCAGGTACAGGTCACGGGCAGGCAGGAGGCTGCTGCCCTGCAGAGGGAGAGAGATGGTGACAGGAAGCACCTGCATAGTCACAGGTGGGCAGTGGCAGTGCTGCCCTGAGCCTGTGCAGAGTCTGCGCTGTTAAAGCCCTTTTCTCTTTGGGGCGGGGGGGTCACTCCTCGTTGGAGTGGCTGCTCGTTGCCGTTGTTGGGTGACAGGCAAAACTAGAAAGGGACTAGAGATTCCAGGGTGGGCCCAATCTCCATATCTTTCCCCTCAGGTCTGTGCTCCACTCCCTGGAGCATCTGATCCTGCCGGGGTTTCCTGCCTTGTGATAAGGCCCTGGTGCCTGAGTGTCACGACCTCTCCAGCTGGGTTAATGGTCCTATTATTCCCCTCGACCCCCACCTCCTTGTGAGTCTGGTTTTAGTCTTGTGAGGCCTCCTTCCCAGTTTTTCTATACCTGTCCTCCATCGCACCCACCCACGGTCCAGACCTGGCAGCGTGATGCCTTCTCTGTAAGTTGTTGGAACACACCCGCCAGAGTGACCTGTTGATTGTTATGACACGAGTGTCCAGTGCAGCAGGAGAGACGGGGAGAAGGGCTGCCCTGCCAGGCCCCAGGGTGGGGTGGGGGAGACAGGGGCAGCAGGGAAGGGCAGAGCGGGTGGGAGCTTAGACTTGGAATTATGTTTCCTCACTTGGGAAGTTGTTCTGCTGCACACAGAGCAAATGTCTCTGTTAAATCTGGTTGGCTGTTTCTGGAACAAAAACCTTAGGTTTGAATGTGTCTTTGCAGACTACCAAAGCTGCCTCTGAGCCTCTGAGCGCAGTTTGGTTGAATGCAGCTTCTTGGTTGTCACAGGCGCCGGGGAGGTCCTGCTGGGCCCAGTAACCTGAGGGAAGGGTGACTGTCGGGAGAGGAAGACAGAGTGGCCTGGCCCAGCCGAGGAGGAGTGTGTGTCGGTTCCTGCGCAGCGCTCGCCTGCCTGCCGGGTCACAGCAGCCTCACGGTGTGAAGCAAAAGCGGAGAGGCGCCGAGAGAACCGTGACTGGAGGCATCGAGGGGCTGCCCGTCCTCACTTGCGGTTATTGACCGGCCGCTGGCCTGGAGGAGCGCAGGGGCCTGGCCGCTGCAGAGCGCGCTGGCGTGTGGCTGCTCAGATGGTGACTGGGCTCAGTGCCTCAGCTGCTGGCTGCGTGGGTCTTCACGGGTGAGCGTGGCTGCAGGTGATCGGGACCCTGAGCTGGAGCCCGCCAGAGGGGCACCTGCGGATACCTGCACCCACTGAAGAGTCAGGGCCCGGTCCCTCTCCCTGCAGAGGCGGGGTGGGCACAGGGAGCTGTCTGGTGAGGACAGCGTGACAGAGGCTTCATGAGGGGAGGTGGTTGATGAGTGTGTGGTGGATGGAAAGCCAGACTGGAGTCAGAGCCCCCCCCCCCCCCCCCCCCCACTGGCAGGGATCCTGCTGTGGGCTTCCACCTTTGGCCTCGGGGCTGGAGGGCCCTGTGGCTTCCAGGTGGTGTCACTGCGGAACAGTTAGCCAACCCTCTTGGTCCCCCGCCTGGTGATCCTAGCAGGCCCTTCCTGATAGGTTGGTGGCGAGGCTTAAATGAGGCAATATGTGCAAAAGGTACTTTTGAGCAGGGTTTCTTGTATGTATAAAATAAGGGTGGCGGGGGCATGTAGGCCCCTAAAAATACCTCAAGCCAATATAATATTCCTGGGTCCCTGGATTTGGAGAGCCGAGGGGGTGTGTCTGTGTATGTAAACACTTCCCCGCTCCCGGGGACAGAGCATACACACTGAGGTGCTCAGTCTCCAGGTTGGATGCCCAGAGGTTTCAAGCACCTTTATTCCAGACTCTGGCCCCTCAGTCTGGGCACTGCTGACATCTGGGCCCTGGTCATTCTTTGGCATGGGGGCTGCCCTGTGCATTGTAGGATGTTTAGCAGCACCCTATCTCTTCCGTGAGGGGTCGGAACACCTCCCCCCTTCCCCCCCAGTTTTGACAATGAAAAATATCTCCAGACATTGCTAAATGTCCCTGGGGTTGGGGCTGGCGTCGCCTTTGGTTGACAACTGTTGCTTTGCCAACAGCTGACCCCGCAGCAAGTCCTGTTACTTGCTGTGTTGAGGTTCTGCAGGATTACTTTTCTGAACCTCGGTGGTCTCTGTCTACTTCTGTGCACTGTCTGGAGGCCCCCATGAAATCACAACAGAGGGTCTTTCAAAGTTGGCAGACCGCAGACCTGGCAGACCCAGCCGCATTAGATAGAAATGACTGGCCTATGAGCAGGCCAGGCAGCTGGGTCTGCAGGGATTTCTGGAGCAGTAAATGCCGTCCTTTAGTGGGAATGAAAAACCTGAGCTGTAATTAACCAGTTAATTCTGTAGGGAACAAGGTCTTGTGGGACTCTCTTGGGGTGGAGACATTTTTTTGAAAGCTCAGGCCTCAAAGCTGGCAGTTCTTCATCCAGGGAAAGACCAGAGAAGGGGCTCAAGGGGCAGACCCAGCAGGACAGACGAGGAAGGAGACCTGGAAGCATTTGCAGTCCCCGCTATTTAGGAGGCAGTCTGGACTCTGGTGTAGGAGGATGAAAAGCACCCAACTCTGGTGCATCTTTGCTGGGGCAGGCCAGGCGCCAGGAGGGCCTGGGCATCTCTGATGTTCATTTTTTTGACTGATGGACTGTCTCCCCCATCCTGCCTGGTTCTTCGTCTCTCGCCTCATTCCTTGATCAACTGCTCTGACACCTCCCCGGCAGTGCCGCTGCTCAGGGGTCAAGAGCATCCCTCTAGACTTCAGAAGCTTTTTCTCTTGGACTCCTCTCTCCCTCCCCAGTACTTGCTTTTGGGGTGTCTCTTTGGTCCTGGGTGTCTCGGCGTGATAGTCTCTCTTGTTGTGACGGTATGGGAAGAAGCCAACTTTGGAAATAGTGTGGACAGAATATGATGAAGCATTGCCTTGACTGAAGGGACCAGGTGCTAGGGTTCTCCTTGAGTCCCTCCTGGACACTGTGGGGTTTAGGGATCTCATCAGTGACCCCAGGTATGGGAATCGGCGTGGAGCCCAACTCTGCAGGTTCGTGTCAGCAGCCTCGAGTGTGGTCACTTGAGTCTCTGTGGCACTCACGTGGCCCTGACTGTCATCCGCACAGCTGGTCCTGAGAGCTCAGCGACTAGGATTCCAGTGGCGCCCGGCGACGTCCCCGCAGGTCCTGACAAA